TGGTGGTTGTGGTTGTTGTGGGGGGGGGGGGGGGGGGGGGGGCATTCATTCCAGATCCTTATCTCATATAAGGGTTTGGTATAGATTTTTGACGGACCACATGTCGTTCTTTACATTTACAGTTTTTACATTTTAGACTGGGGTGCCTCTACAATTTGCATACTTTTAAAGGGTGCCATGACTGTAAAGAGGTTGAGAAACCCTACTTTAGAGAAAAGGAAAAGTATGACACAAAGCTCCAGGGACCCGCAGTGGATACGGTTCAGCTTTGATGCCTATGGGTTTTGAATGGGATATGCAGCTAGCTTATATGTGTGGTATGAAGGTCAGGTGTCTGCAAAGTTTTTGCCATGTGGTTTCATTGTTTGCTCTTTATTTGCACTTCTTCTTTATTGCTGATAAATTTGCTCTCTCTTCTGCCTGCAATAAACTTGTATTTTTAGCATTTTTTTTTGAATGTTTATTTTTTAATTTATAGCCAACAGTTTTTTTTCTCCATGATCTGCAGACCATCAAACTTATTTATCAGTATATTAAAAGTTATTTTTGTTTGAGGAAACAAAATGTTAATCAGTTGTATTTAGTGATTTCAGCATATCCTTGTTTCAAACCAGTCTCCTTTTAATTACACCGGAGTTCTACTTTAAATAAGGCAGCGGTTGTTCCTCTTAAGTATCCCTGAACAAGATAATAAATTAAAGAGTACTTTCCATAGAGTAATCAAAAAAACTAAACAGGACATAAGAGAAAGTGTGGGAAGCAGTGGTAAAAGGATGACAGCATGTTAATAGGCGCATTGTGTTACTAAACTTAAATCAACAAATTAAATGGAGCATGCATTCATTCCGTTATGTATTGATTTCAACGTCTTGTTGGTTGCAGTTGGAGAAGTGCCCGGAATATGCCCAGAAGACTCAGATTTCATATGCAAAAACAAGAAATGCATTGAATACCACTTGGTGTGTGACTACAAGGCGGACTGCAAAGATTCATCTGATGAAGTTGACTGCAGTATGTATATGTTCCTTTTCCATTGCCTAGTCACTTGTTATTTTAACTTAGGGAAATGTTGTCTTTTCAGTCTTTTTTAGATAAACTTACAAAAGATATAGAGGGGATTTATCAAAACTGGAGCAGACAGAATCTGGAGCAGCAGTGCACGGCAACCAATCAGCTTCTATCTTTCGTTTTCAAATCTTAACTGAACAAACTCAAGAGAGGACGCTGATTGGTTGCCCTGGGCAACTGCTCCAGATTTAGTTTGCTACAGTTTTGATAAATTCCTCTCATTGTCTTTATGTAAATAATCTCACCAATGTATGGCAAAGAATAATTGTACTTTTAGTACAGTTTTTCTTTAAATAATACCTACCCTAGCAAGCCCCTTCAGTCTTATACATACCTGTCAACAGTCCTCAGAGGTCTTTGCTTTTGGGCTTCCTGGGGGCCATATATCCACCGCTTCGGAATTCCCTCCACCGAGTGCTTCTTATCTATTCATTTCTGTGGAGAGGCTGTCCACTGTTGGGATGCATAATAGATGGCCTCTCCATAGGAATACATAGCGATTCTTCTGTGCTTGCACTGAAGGCGAAGAGCCTGGTAAATAAGATTCTGCAGCATCAGCTGTATGGCTCCCAGTGGGCCACACAGCAAAGAACTCAGAGAAGCGAGTACAGGTAAATATATGACTTGAGGGGCATGCTGAGGGAAGATGTTGGGGGCTCAATTAAAGGCCAGTTCACAGAAATAGATATGCAGTCAGACAGACATTATATGAACACTTTCCATTTTCCTGTTATAGTAATTGTGCAGAATGTCTAAATATGATTGTACAGTCTAATAGACACTGTGCAATACAAGCCTGCATGAAGAAGTTTGTGCATGTGAAGGTACAGGACTATTAAGATATAAAAAGGTGGGAGCTTTAATGGATATGTGTGCTGAAAGTACAGTTATACATTAATGTGTTAAAAAAAATTGCATCTAAGTATAATTTTTAATGATGTATATACAGTACTTTGGGACAGCCGTTATGCTTATTAGATATGTACGCTATGCTTCCTCTTTTGCAGTACTACACAGTAGTTGTGTTTAACTGCAGCTTCTCACAGTGCAAGTCTGTGAGGCTGATTTACTATAGGAGTTGAGAATCTTCATTCAAAAACATTTGTGAATATTCACTTCAATTGCCCAGCAAAATCCTGTTCACTTTTGACACCAATCATGTGCCTATGCTTTTCATGTTATTGGATAATTAATGCGAATATTAATATCATTTTTTTGAGTGTAGATTTTAAATTGGTTTACTAATCCAGCCAGTAAGTCAGCCAACTCACACAAAACAATGGGAGTTTCCCCCTATTGATACTAAAAATATGAAAGTCATATCAAAAATTCATTTGGAGTGTATCAATAACCAAAACTTTTTTAAACTTGGATAAAATATGGACTGATTCAAACCCATGTCAGGTTTTTAGTTTTTTGTGGAAATCTTTCCATATTGAAAGGAAATGCCCTCCTATATAATTGTCACATGTGGGGACATGATGGTTAAAACAGTTTTGGATAGAGAGGGGTAGAGTTGAGCTTCTTGTCATGTTTTTATTTCAATCTGTGAGCCCACTGGGGACATTTTTCTCACTTGTTCTCCTTATAAAATCAAGACAAGTGGTTGGTTCCGAGACAGGAAGGCACATTCACCAAATAACTGGCAGATGGTCTAGCCTTGCCCCATTGTGCTAATATGTGGGCAACAAAAAACCTGATAGAGATCCTGACCTTTTCTGCTGTACTGTATCCAAAATTGAAAAAAAAAACAACCTCTTTTTGGCTTTAAAGTGCAGATTCGCCCTCACTTTCAACACTCTTTATTCTTATTTTTTACCCCTTCCTTTAATTAATTGATTACTTAATTGCATATATATTTTTTCATAAATACCTCTTTTGCTGATCTTGCTTCCCCACTTCCATCAGGGTATACCGATACTATGACATGTGTAAACAATATGATTCCCTGGCTAGAGTGTTGTTCAGATTACCAGAGTATCATCATGGGGGTTGGCAAAGAATACCAGGAAGTAATGGGGCAGGTGATTATCTGTCACTTTACTTTCTGCTAATCGAACCATTAAATGTAATAAAATGCTAATGTAAAATTGATATTTACTGTTAAATACAGGTTTTTATTTTCATGGATACTTTTGAGCTCTCTGCCTTTACAGAAAATGGTCTCCATTATGGATTCTCTGCCCTTACACAAAAGGCCACCAGAATGTAAAGGAGAAGTTGAGTGGGGAAGACTCTTTTGACATTTAGGGTTCCATCCACTGTTACATAATGACCTGCTAAAGCAACCAATGTGAAGGCGTAATATTTGCTTAGTAGAGAGATATTATATCATAGTGCATTAGTAATCTTGCTCCGTAATTGTAATAAGTGGAAAGCCAATATATCCTGTCATGGACCTGAGGTTGAGGAATGAGGAGAGGAGACTCTGCTCCATTGAAGTACAGGCTTCTTGAATGGCAAGGCCTACACTGTCAATTGGTAAGGGATCCCTTAAAGAGAACTATGAGGTGAGTGATTTCTACTCATCCTCATAGTTAGAGCTGACCTGTGACAATGAAGCTGCTACAGGTCGGCTCTATAGATCGGGAAGTGAGCGAACGCATACCGTCGCTCGCTCACTTCCCGATCGTCTCCCTGCAGTGAGTAGTGACTACTCAGTCACCATTCCCCGCAGGGATTTCTCCCCCTCCCCGCTCCGATCCTCCAGTGCTGAGTGGAGAAACGGACGGGGAGGGGCGGGGGGGCTTACACAGCTGGCTCTGCCTCTAGATAGGCAGAGCCGCTGTCGCTCACGCAGCTGTGTGGATCTCGACAGCATTGTCGGGGTCCATCCCGGCTGCGGGGATCTCGGTATATACTGAGCTTGGGTCACGGGAGGAGGTTAATATATGTCCTCCCATGACCCTTAAGAGAACTATGGAATATAAAGGTTACCCCATAGTTTTCTTTTAAAGTTTGCTGGTGGGGTGAATTAGCAATTGATGACTAAAGTCCAATAAGCATAAGAGCTCAGGGAGTACGCAGATGTCACATGACACAAAAATATGCCTCCATGAAATGCTAATGATGTGGATTTTACTAAAACCGTAAATGTACTTGGACTGCTTTTGCAGCTGGTTTTTAAAAGCTGATATATATGTAAGATTTATCTATTGTTACAAAAAGTTTTGTTTTTATTAACAAGGTCATTGTCAGTTATTATTGAGAAGTGATGAAAACATTGCAAATGCACCTCATACCCATTGTACTTGGCAAGCATTTCAGAGGCTTCCCATTGACAACAATGGAATAAAAAATTGTCATGGAACCAGCTGGTTTAAAAAAAAAAAAAAAATCTAACCTGAAAGGGAAAAGAATAAGCAACTGATATATCCTTCTTTGTCAGATCCCATTGATATTAACATCAGTGTGGCGAAGGAGCTTCAAAATCGTGTTTCAAATACAGTTAATAAATGCCAATTAATGCCATCTTTAAAGAATAGTAAAATGTTTTGTTTGGTGGTAATCTTCTATGAGATTTACTGGACGTGAAGTGAGCTGAGTACTGGAATGTATTGCTCCCTGCTATAACGTATCTTTGTAATACATAGGCACCTTCTCCATGGTGGGATCCCAGCTTCCCTCTGCTTGCTTTAGGCAACTATTAAAGAGTAATCATCCACATAGCCGAGTACTGCCTCACAAACACATAGAAACAGAGCTACTTCACAGCAGCACAAATCAAGCTCCAGCTGCAAGGATATCTGCATGCAAAGAGCAACTCCAGCCAATATGGAATTTGTTTTAGTTTTGGTAGACTGGTGAAACATCAGAACCTCTGTCTGTTTTTTTCCTATTTGGGAGACTGCCAGTTCTGCTGACAACATTGCCTGCCTACTGCAACATTCATGTGCACTCCCTCTTTCATGCCAGAGCTACTGATATGATTCCAGTAACATGCAGTAAGGTCTGTGCTACGTGAGGCATTCCCCCTGCCCGCCGACACCCTGCAGACGCCCCACCCCCATCCCGCCGATGCACCGCCCCCAATCGGCCACTGAGCTATGTGTGAAGTGGGGAGGGAGATGGGAGGAGACAGGGAGGAGGCTCACTGTCCCTCACTTGCTCGTCACTGGTGAGGCATCAAGATTGATGTCCTCCGTGTTTTTCTTTTCTTTTTTTTGATTGGACAGCTTTGCTATTGGTCCAAACCACCCACTGAGCTCAAGCCTCTAACACAAAGTAGAGGCTGTTGCAGCTTTTGCCTCACTATATGGTTACACAAGCAATGGGGAAACCCGCTGCTGTGTAAGCTAACTTAGCTTTCAAAAGCCAGATGCAGCGCCGCCTGTAATTAACAGGCTACACTCCGTCCATGACAGGTTACACACTTGACTTGAAGCTGACAGCTTTTTCCTCCATAATACTAGGTGAGGCTCTGCCTCCCCTGACCGGACGTCCCTGTGCTTAGGGGTCCAGTAGATAACAGTGGAAAGGAACTTTAACATCAAAGGAGACTTCTCTGCCCGATTTGCTCATTCAGAGAGTAAAGAGACACTCAAGTCAGTTCCACATCTCCATAAATGTTGCTCAGAATGCTTACACAAATACATTTTTATTTTGGTCTTTTAATGTTTAAGGTTTTTTTTTAAACAATTTAAATGAAATACTTTTTTGGGAAAGTTTAATAAATTATACCCATATTTTTTTAATAGTAAAAGGTGCATTAATGATACTTATTTCACTAGAAATGTTGGAAGGGGTTTCCACATATTTTCAGCCGTACAGTATATAAATTAATAACATTTAATATTTCATTTACTGTATATCCAATTAAAGAGCAATCAAAAGAGCAATCAAAAAAAAATTCCCCTAAACTTGATACCTAATTAGGAAAATATTTGCGAAATAAAATAGCCCACTATGCATTCCCTTTAAGAACACACTGGTAATAACAAGGGATGTAAGTCAGGTAAGCTGTTCCAAAACCAGGGCTATATTTCATTTAAATTTTAAATCAACTTGTTCATAATTTTCACACCCTGTTGAACAGCACTGAAGCAAGTGCTGAGATGAAAAATGGCTATTCCTTTGTGAAATTAAGTAAATGTACTAAGCCAGAATGAGCTAATCCCTTAATAGACTTATAGGAAATCGTACATCCAATAGGCGCAGATGAACCTGCTTCAGAGAGGGGCACAGCGGCTGTTGGTGTAAGTAAATCAAGCATTCATCTCGCCGCTTTCATAGCAAGGTGATTTCACTCTAAAGTACATAGCGGATGTCTCACTGGTGTCTAAGTATTAAAAGCCATCAATATTCTGCACTTAGGTCCCTACAGTGAATTACCCGGCAGCTGCAGTTTCCCACATCTGAGTTCCGTAGGTGATTTGGGATGCAACCTTACACAAGACAAGACTGATGAGTTTGATTGGACCGTGGCAGAAAGAGGTATTCTGCTAAATACAGATCACACACCCGGTAAGTGGATTATATATATAGATGGTAGGCTCAGTCAAACCTTTCCCATGCTAAAGGTAGACTTTTGCTGTATGTTTCCATTTTTCTTCTTAACCACCTCCCGTCCGCCGAATGTTGAGAAACGGTCGGACAGGAGTCTACTGGATGCGTGTGGGCGTCTTTAGACGTCCTTCGTACCCGCGCCCGCCCCCTGGTGCACACGAGCAGGAAACCACCAGAATTTTAAACAGCCAGCGATGGCCGTTTACTTACAAGAGGTCCACCGTCTGTAAAGACACCCGATCGCTTGTATGCTGCATCTCTCGGTGCGCCCCCCCCCTTACCTCTCCTGTCGCCGCCGTCCCCGCGATTCCCGGGCATCCATCCGGTATGGGCAATGTGGCTCCGTGCACTGAGAATGGAGGGAGATCAGTACACGACCTCCCTTCGCTCTCCTCCCCGGTCTCTGAATGCAGGAAGTGATGTTTACTACATCACTTCTGCATTCCTCGGTCACTCTCGGGTACAGAAACCAGAGAGAAGCTGATGAAGCAGATCTGTGCTTCATAAGCTTCTCTGGGGGTCCCTAGGTGACATTAGGGGTCTTAGAGACCTCTGAGGGGACCTGTGACTGTAATTTGATAGTTAAGTGTAAAAAATTGGTCACAAAATAAAATTTACACACACAAAAAAAACACCATTTTTTAAAAAAAAGTCCCCCACCTCCACATAGGTGCGCCTACACGCAAAAACGACGATTGCGCCAATTATGCAAGCACATGTTACCTATCGTGCGAACGTCGCAGTGAGAGCAATAATTCTAGGGCCATCAATTACTGATCAATTACTGATGACACTAAACTGATGAACGGTAAAATCTTTTAAAGCGTTGCCTATGGCCAATTTTGGGTTTTTCTATTTTTTTTTGCAATTTTGCGGGCGCGCACAATTTTAAGGCTTCACATGTTTGGTGTCTATTTACCCGACGTGACCCTGTATTTTATATTTTGCCAAAAAATTTTGTAATAATAAATGTTTCCTAATATAATAAAGGGAAAACAGTTTTTTTTTAAATTATTTTCTGTACTTTTTTCGTTATATAGTAAAAATTAAAATCTGTCCCCAAAAAATTGTATTTAATGAATTTCAGTACAGCGTTGCATGACGGAATAAATGTCAGTCACCGCAGCGCTGAATACTGAAAAATGGCCTGGACAGGAAGGGGGTATAAGCAAGTGGTTAAAGTGTATGACAACCCTTTTCTTTTTGGATAGAGTGGGCCAATGCCAGTGTTCAAATATTCCTTTAGGTGCCGTATTATCCAACTGTCTCTGAATTCTTTGTCCCTCGAGAAACTCCATGAAATAGATTTTACGTGTAGTACAAAAATCCAATTTTTTAGCCGAAAAATTTGAGTTGGTATATTTACAGGGCCCTCCTTACCATCTTGTCTTGAATTGTATTGTGACTGTAATGTCTTCCTTATATTGTAAAACGCTGTGCAAACTATTGGCGCTATATAAATACTGTATAATAATAATTTACATGTAACTACTTTCTGCAAATGTTTGACAATCTGCAACTCCCAGTTTGGCGAAATCAGCCACTTGTGTGTCAACTTAGACTAATGAAAGTTGTAGCGTTCTCTGTTCTTCGGGTGTAATTAGTTATCTGAACACTTAATGAATAAAGAAGGAAGTACAGAACATTCTACAGGACTGGAGTACACTGTGTCTTTCCATCTGTTCTCTGTATTTGGATCACATACAGGTGGAAGACCTTTGGAGTGTAAAAGTTTGTCCTTGAGAACTAATTAGTGGAAGTCAGTTGTAAGCTGCACAGGCCTTTATACGAAGCCAGGTTTATCTATACTCTCTCCAAAAATTCATACAATGCTGAAGTCTCTAGAAGCCTAATATCTGAAGTTTTGGCTGAGGGAAAGGAAAAGGTTAGGACCAGATACCAAATAAGAACAAATAAATAATAATGCTGACACTATATATAAAGTATATTGTCTGTAAGGCATAGTGCTGGTAATGAGAAGAGAATAGCAGAAAGGGAATGCTGTTACCGGACTACCCTTACCCAAATATACTGCCTGGAGGTAAGCCATTCCTCATTAAAGGTACAGGGAGACACCAAAAGCCTAGCACAGTACAATGGCAACTAAAAAATGGTCTACCAGGCACACCTACCCTCATTTTACTCATTGCTACATATAAAAAATATAAGGAAGCTCTGTTAGATTACAGTTAGGTACCATACTTCACAGTTGGGCCTTGACAAGGCATTGTTATTTCCTCATACATTTGCAAATATATGGATCATTTAACCTAAAATGTTGAAACAGTGTAGAATTTGCTGACTTACATTTTTGCATTGTACTGTTCTGCCATATGCAAATGCCCATGTGCACCCTATTTATAAAGCTAGTAATGAACTGATTGAAGCTGTTGCCATTTTTTTTTCTTACACAGACAGCATGGCGTACACTTTCTGTGTATTGGACCAATTTTGACATAAATTAACTACAAAACATATACTTACACAGATGTTATAAGAATATTACTTCGATACGATAACTTTTTATCATAATGCTTACCATAGCTATATCTAAGAATAATGACAAATGGGGAAAGGAGAAGCACCTCAAATAACAATAAAGTGGACAAAAAACTCCTGGGTTCGATCACCATTTACGGTCACTAGATTCTCATCTATATCAATCAACACTGGGCTATATCAGGGAGGACTTGTTTGTCATTTTAATTGATTTTAGATGTTCTTTGTCAGTAGGTGTATTTATAAGTTTTTCTACTTTATTATTAATTCTCATTAAAATTTGTTACATTATCATTACCTGTTTGATTATTATAAACAGCTCCTATTTTGGGATTCCGTTTTTATTTTCGGGGAACCTTGCTTATTATAGTATATCTAAGAATACCTTCATTTTACAGAATTCATGTCACATCTTGCTATAAACCATCATTATTTGTTCTAATGCAGAATCTGTAACAACCACAGTCCGTAGGTTACACTGAGGCAGGATGTAAATCTATAATTCACCTCTGACATATCATTCCCAGTTTGGATAATGTGCTATCACTGACAGCCACAGGTCTCATAATCAGGAACCAATCAATGTGCTTACCGATCATGTGATCACTTTGATAACCAACATGGCGATCACAAACAGACTGGAGGTCTGTTTACAAACAAACCTCCAGCTGACGGATGGCACTCTGCTTGCTGTGCACAGAGAAAGTACAGTGTTAGAAATCATTACATTTGAATATGTAACAAATCATTCAATATACTTTTTAACATTTTTGACCATGTGTCAGTTTATAATAAAAAAAAACACAAGCAGGATCCCCTGCTGATCGGAACTGAAGGCACCCATGCTAGAGGGGCCTTACAGGTCTTATCCCTCCACCGGACTATGACTGGACAGCCAAAAGAGAAGAAGGAGACTGTTGAGCTTGACTCCCTGTGACTCTGCTCCCTCCTTGTATCTGCATGTTCCTTGGTATCAAATGATTGTTGGAGCACAACTTGTTGGCTCCTTGTGCTGCTCCTCTCTCTCCCAGGCTGAGCTGTGATGTTCAGAGACTTATACTAGATCAGATTCTGCTACTGCTATTATACTGCATGCATTTAATGGCAATTTAATGATGTATCAAAGAGCTGCATAAATGTGTGTCTTTTTTATTTGCCTGGAAACACAAGGGAAAATTGCAGAAATTTAGGTGCTTTAAAGTAAATGAAAATGTATGCTACACTTTTAGAAAATGACTGTGTTACACAATATGGAATCCACATAAAAAACCCAAACATGAAAAAAAAAACCATAAACATAAAATTAATGATTTAACTTGAAAACTGCAAAAACACTGCAGACTGCTGGGAAAGCATGAAAAGAAAATAACTGGCTTCTCCCATAATGCACCAAAGTCAATGTCACCGCATTATCAAGCTAATTGTAAATTGTCCTTCAAAGGATTACCTTGCTTTGAAGTCAGAAGCTTCGAAAATACAAAAGGGCTGGAGTGATTTTAAATGAAGAAATATATGGGTCGTATTGATGTTTGGCGTTTATGGAGCCAACATTGCACATGCCACTTGCAAATATATTTCAATAATTTAGCGACTAAGTAGCCTTGTAATCTAAATTAACAGTCTGTGTGGGAAAAGCTTCGGGAAAGGAGAGTTTCTTTTTAAATAAAGGTACATGACGAAAGTGAAAATACAACATTCTAATGTTATCATTTCACTTGCTTCCTTAGCCATGTAAATGAAAATGTGTAAAAGCATTATGCACTCAACTAAAGACCATGACCCGGTCCATTGCATGCTCTTGATTGCAGTTAGGCAATTTTGTATGGCAGGTAATTAAAGGAGAAATTAATTAAATTAAAGGAGATGCCGGGTTTTTAATTGCTGAACTCCGTCTATAGGTTTGAGTAACATGACAGCCGTGCTTTCTTACTGACGTTATTGCTTTTTGGACTCTGAGGGCCTGTCCACATGATTAACACATGCTATCATGCAACACTCCTACCGTACATTACAGTGCGTCAGATACATTGCTACTCATTTGAATGGCACCCCTATGCACCTCCCGGTTGCAATGCATGGTACAGCAATACAGTGTGTTGCGATTCAGTGGAAAAAAAGTAATTTATTGCAACGCATTGTGGCCGGGAGGTGCAATGGGCTGCCATTCAACTGAATGGCAACACAATGCACCTGTCGCACTGTAAGACACTGTAGGTGCATTGCGGGATAGCGTGCATTGATGTGCTTACCGGTTTCAAGTCAGTGATTCAAAATGTATCAAATCCAGTCATTCAGCATAATAGACAGGGCTCTTAAAGGTTCAGGAGAGGTTAGGAATTGTACCCTCTTATTTCTCTCAATACAGTTCCCTATGTAAAGGAAACTGTATTGAGAGAAATAAGAGGGTACAATTCCTAACCTATGTTTATGGATATGAAAATCCCTAAAGTTTTTTGGTT